GTCCTGATCGGCGCCGGCGGCCGTTGCGGCGTCGCTCCGAGGCGGACATTTTTCTCCGTCAGATCGATTAGGATCGCCGGCGAGAGCCAGCACGTGAAGGCTTCTGCGGAAAATGGCGCTCTTGACGTCGTGAGTTTCTCTCTCTCTGATTTTCCATTTCTGGGTCTTCTCGTTTCTTTCCGTGTTCGTCACGTTCCGTGTCTTCTCCACTGTTCGATTCCGATGGTTCTGTTTTTGTTTCTGTTCTCGTCGTTTTCGAAAATGAAACTATAAACTTTGATGCTACAATGAAGATGCATTCCAATTTGAATCGCATTCTATGCAATATCAGAACCCTCCGATTGGATACGATTCCAGTGTCATAAACTTCAATTCATCTTCGGGATTTGGACGAAATTTTCAAATTTCCTGACCCTTTTTTGCCTCTGGGTGGTCATTGAAGGGAGAGATGGATTCTTCAGTGAGCCCATATGAACTGGTAGATCCCAGAATAAGCTCCGAATCCCGCAGAAAAACCAAGATCGTGTGTACGATCGGACCCTCATCGAGCTCCCGTGAAATGATATGGAAGCTTGCTGAATCGGGAATGAACGTTGCTCGTTTGAATATGTCTCATGGAGACCACGCTTCTCACCAGAAAACCATCGATCTTGTCAAGGAATACAACTCTCAGTTTGCAGATAAAGCCATTGCCATAATGCTCGACACAAAGGTAAACCTCTTATGCTTTTTACTTGTCCTTGTGATTCATGAACATTTCTTACAAAAGTCTACACATTGTTTATTTGCTTGCGTAGGGACCCGAGGTCCGAAGCGGGGATCTTCCTCGGCCGATTCTGCTAAAAGAGGGTCAGGAGTTCAATTTTACGATCAAGAGAGGTGTCTCGACTGAAGACACTGTCAGCGTAAATTACGATGATTTCATTAACGATGTTGAAGTCGGAGACATACTGTTGGTAGATGGTAAGAAGCATATATACATACATATAAAAGTGATAACTCTGTGTTCGTGGAGTCGTTTTTTAGTTCATTTTGTAACGGGTGACGAGTTTTTTGTGTCCGTATATTAGGTGGAATGATGTCGTTGGCTGTGAAATCAAAGACGGGAGATTTGGTAAAAAAAGGACGTGAAAAGCAGAGGACTTAAAGAGTGCGACTCTACCTTCTATAACAGGTCGATATCCGATTTTCGTATCCGTCATTACACATTAAGCTGGTTTTCTTTTATGTTCTTGTAATGACCACACTATGTTTTTTGTGCATTTTCAGACAAAGATTGGGAAGACATTAAGTTCGGAGTGGACAACCGAGTTGATTGCTACGCCGTCTCTTTTGTTAAGGATGCTGAAGTTGTCCACGAGTTGAAGAATTATCTCAAAAGTGAATCTATCTTCCTCTTCTTTTCTTCTCGATCTCCCATTATATCGTGTTAGAATGCTGTTAAGGGCATTGATTTCGGTAATAAAAATTGGAACTTTGAATGTTTTTTTCACAGGATGCAAGGCGGATATTAGCGTGATAGTGAAAATCGAAAGCGCAGACTCTATACAGAATCTCCATTCTATCTTATACGCTTCCGATGGGGTCGGTTTCGGCATCTTTCTACTGTCACCACGGATTATCTGTTGCTTGGTTCTGAATATCCATGGATGCTTTGTCAGGCAATGGTTGCTCGTGGAGATCTTGGAGCTGAACTTCCCATCGAGGAGGTCCCGTTATTGCAGGTAAATACATACATATATATATCAACATTTAGAAAATATATGATGGTCTGTTGATATGAAAATTGCAATTTGTGATTTTTGATAACCATTCAGGAAGAGATCATTAGGAAGTGTAGGAGCATGAAAAAGCCGGTGATTGTGGCCACAAACATGTTAGAGAGTATGATTGATCATCCTACGCCTACAAGAGCCGAAGTCTCTGACATTTCCATTGCAGTACGTGAAGGCGCCGATGCAGTCATGCTTTCCGGTGAAACAGCCCATGGAAAGTTCGTAACTTTTCAAACATAAACCCGCATTTCTATTACCCGAGAACTCATATCGTAGTAGCGGTTTCATGTATCTGAATCTTCAAAATTTCCGTTGTTTCGTTCTCTGATGTTAGGTATCCTCTGAAAGCTGTTAAGGTAATGCATACAGTGGCAATGAGAACTGAAGCAAGTCTCCCTGTCAGAACGTCAGCCATAGCCGGTGCTTACAAGGTACACCTCACTCGTCGATTTTGCCTGAAAATTGTCCCGTTGAATGATCCCTCGGGCAATCTGAACGATAAAGACGACATATTTGTTGAAGGTGCACATGGGTGAAATGTTTGCTTTTCATGCTGCTATAATGGCGAATACCTTGAAGACACCGATAATCGTATTCACCAGAACCGGATCCATGGCCGTGCTTCTAAGCCATTACCGTCCTTCCTCGACAGTTTTCGCCTTCACAAATGAGTGAGTAATTACCGATATTTGTTATTTCACTGAACGTTGATTTGTTTCGCTTAACACGAGGCGATCCCGGAACCATTTTTCAGGAGAAGGATAATGCAAAGGCTGGTTCTTTATCAAGGTGTCATGCCCATATTCATGGAGTTCTCTGATGATGCGGAAGATACATTTTCCCGGGCTCTGAAACTGTTACAGGTACCTTTCCGAGATCCCTCTTCTTCTGTCTTTACGATGATTTTTTTTCCTCTTTTTGCTTTGTTCCATTTCCGAACATAATGCTTCAGGACAAGGAAATGTTGAAGGAGGGACAACATGTTACTCTTGTCCAGAGCGGAGCACAACCCATCTGGCGTGAAGAATCAACACACGTCATTCAAGTTCGCAAGATTTAAAAGGGGTGATTCTTCTAATTCCCGATCTTCCCGTTTTCATCTTCTTTCTCTCGCTCTCCTCTGTGATTATCGTTCATGGTGAAACAGAGAATGGTATACGTTTTAGGTTCTTGAAGGTTGTAGTGTTTTAGGCATCAGACAAAGATTTCAAGAACTCTTCATCTTTGTAAAAAGACTAATCTGATTGCTTCTTTATTCATCATTTTTGCTTTAACAACACCCGGAAAAAAAAAAAACAAAGGCATATCTCATCACAGACATTAAACCCTTGAATCCCCTTCTTGCTCCTCATCACTCTCATCATCGTCGTCGTCATCGTTGTCATGGTCTCGTGTTCCGTCTTTTCCTTCTAGTTTAATGCACTTGTACCACTTTGCACAAGCAACATACACAACCAGATCTACACTCGTCAGGACAGCGAGGAGGAAGTAGAATCTGTCTAGGTGACCCTTGTTGAGATTCCTCGGGATCCAACCGGGCATGTGATCCTCCGTCGAGATCTTCATCACCATTGTCACTAACAAGCTGCTCACAAAGTTACCCATCGACATCGACATCATACACAATGCACTCCCGAAGCTCTTCAGTCCATCCGGAGCTTGCGCATTGAAGAACTCCAACTGACCCACGTACATAAACACCTCCGATGCTCCGATCAACGCGTATTGAGGTACCTGTTGGATTAAGATGTTTGCATCAGTAGTAGGGTTTAAGGTTCGGAATTTAGGGTTTCGGGTTTTAATGGTTTCTTTTCTTACCTGCCAGAAGATGCTGAGGGAGCTCGAGCCGTCGCAGTGAGTACAAGCCTTGTCTGCATACTTGAGCCTGTAGCACTCGACGATTCCGGCAGACAACATGGCCACAACAGCGATCACGAGGCCAATGCCCATCCTCTGAAGCTCGGTAAGTCCCCTCGACCCGTCCTTTTTCCTGAACCGACTAGCCAGCGGGTCAAGAACTCGACGATACAGGAATATGAACACTGCAACGCTCAGTATATCGAAGCTTGACATGCTTGCAGGTGGGACCTTGAAGTTGTTCCCGACAGTCGTCTTCATGGCCGCACCTTGCTCGACGAAGAGAGATGCCATCTGGGTGAAGACGACAGAGTAGATGATGGTGCAGAGCCAGATGGGCATCAATCTCAGAATGCATTTCACTTCCTCCACTTGATTCACTGGACATAGCCGCCATGGATCCACTCTTCCCTGTTTCTGATCTTCCAGATCTTTCGCCGTTATGTAAGCTGCCTTGTCCAAGAACCTACAAACAAGACAACAAAACGACAAAAAAGTGTTAATGTCCGGTAAGAACATCATTAAAGTGATGTTTGGTAACTCTGTTCAAAGATATTGAACACTCACTTGAACTCATCAGTGTGCATTATCCTCCTAGCTCCATTCGACGTCTTTTTATCATCTCTATTTCCATCATACAGGTCCTCTCTTCCATGCCCCGAATCAATCTCCACCGTCCATTTCTTCACGGCGGCAATCAAGACCTGGCAAAACCTCGAGAGAGGATTTCCGCTCGGTTTAAAATGGCGATACCGAGGGGTTCCCATCATGAAGAGGATCAATGCCACGAGGGCCGAGCCAGTTGACGCCCAAAACCCGAGTGCCCACAAGCCCTCGTCTTCGAAATACCCGAGGATTGTGTTCGAGAAGAGAGATCCGAGGTTCAAGGCCAAGTAAAAGTAGCTGAAAAAGGCGATCTTGGAGTAACCTTCTTTCGGGTTTTCCTCGTCGAACTGATCGGCTCCGAACGTGGCAATGTTGGGTTGGTAACCTCCGTTCCCCAACGCGACCAGATAGATCGAGAAGTAAAACAGAGAGATCTCCATTGTCGTGTGCGAACCGCAGGGAGTGAGTTCATCTCCACAACCTTTCGGTCTGATCAGGAAGAGGTAAGAAGACAGTGACAGTGACATCAAACCCTGCATTTTCCATCCATATATATATAATCACATAAATCTATAATATACGGTATAAATAAATGTACGTATATATGTGTGTACGTATATGCAGACGTACCACGACGAAGATGACTTGGAAGATGGCACAGGTCTTGAAACGGCCCCAGTAGGAATCGCTGAGAAAGGCTCCGACAAGAGAGAAGATATAGACAGTTCCTGTCCATTTGCTAACGTTGTTGGCCGCGTCTGCGTTATTCTGCTGCAGAACGCGCGTCAGGAACAGCACCAGATTCACTCCCACCCCGAAGAACGCCAACGTGGCAAGCCCCTGGTTCACTGTTCACGGTTTAAACCGGTTAGATGATAACCGAAAGTACCGGTTTAAGCCCGGTTTAGTACGCACGGAATGGAAGCATTAGGGTTTTGATTATTGGAGGGGGACATGACAGGAACCAGAAATCAATGATTTGTGAAATAAGGTTACGTATCCATCAAGTTGACGTTTAACATAATATAATAGTTGGACAGTATTCAATGACTAGTACTACTATGGCTCCATGTCACAAAATAAACTATATATTAAAATTTTTTATATATGAAAATGGAAATATATATATATAAGTGTTACATATTAGATTGGTCGATACAAATGGGTTTTGCTTTCTTTGTTTAAAGCGATGATTATGATGACCACTCACCCCACCAACTTGTACCGACGTCTAATGATATGTAACGTATACGTCCCACGTGGAATTTATATTACAAAATATTTCTAAATTTCTATATACTTTTGCTATCCATGTATATTCCCACTTTCGCATACATATAATATATATATATATGACAATTGAATTAGTGAGATGGATTCCACCCGCCTTATAGAAACAAGAAAGCGAGTTTACGATGTTTCTATAGGTTTCTAAAAAATGGTAATTCTTTTAGAAATCTGATTATGATATATATATATTTATATATGCGTATATATGATATATCTATATATAAATATAAATTGGAACGGGGAAAAGCTAAATGTTTGTCCAAGAAAATAACGTGAGGGGATACACGTGGCAAAAGCGCACGCCATGCAAAATCAAAGAGGAGCAATTACGTGTAAGGCAACGTATAATTAATTTCCAATGGCAACATGCTTTTCTTGCTCTATTTGTCATTACCACTTTCCCTAAATAACTTTACCTTCATTCCCTCAATAATTATCTATACATACATACATACATACATACATACATACATATAAATATTTATTCCCTATTTTTTTTTCAATTTTTTTTTCGGGTTTAAGTGCCACGGCATGCAGCTACGTTCGAACACATGGATTTGTCTCGACACGAGATCGCTCATGTCAGAATTTTTTTTGTCGCAAACCCTAATTTCTCGTCGTCGCTTTCGTGGTTTCTTGTAAGTGATAGCTTATCGAGTTAAAACACTACACTTCACATATTCGGATGCATATAAATTTACACATACTTGTATACATATACGTGAAAGGTGTGTGTATGTATATATATATATAAATACATAAAAGGTGTATATATATATGGTATCTTACCGAAAAGGACGTGAAAAGCAGAGGACTTGTGGACAAAAAGGAAAGGAAAAAGATTATTTTTCCTCGCGAAAAAATAAAAGCTAATTACCTAAACTTGTATTGATTCGTAAAAGAAAAAAACAATGAAACTTGTTATTAAAAACAGATATAAGATTCAATAATTCGATATCTTTGGAGACGCAAAACAAAATCAAACTTGTAAAGCAACGAGATCTCATCGTCATTTTTTGTTCATTTCTGAATTAAAAAATTAATATTGATAAAATCTCTTAGCTCTATTATAAGATACGTGTTTGTGGGTATCGATATATATATATATATATATAGAGAGAGAGAGAGAGATGGAGAGAGAGAGAGAGAGAGACGTACGGAGAATGACAGAGCCAGCGACCCATTGTCCGGACTTGGAACGAAGAGCAGGACGACCATCCCAATCCACAGTTCCATCTCTCGTGCTTTCTTCTTCTTCCTCCTTCTCTTCTCTCTTTTTCATCTGCATTTATTGTTATTATCATTATTATTATTATTATTTATTTATTTATTTCCCTA